CGGCACGCAGGGTGATGAACGTCGGGGATCGACGGGAGGGGACCGGCGGGGTCTGCATCCCGTGGTCCCCATCCCGCAGTCCGCATCCTTCCCTTCCTTCCTCCCTCCCTCCATCCTCCCCCCAGCCCCTTCCTACCCAGTCTCCAAGGGGTGGGTTGGCCCCTGCCCAGGGACCGAGCTCAGGTACCTCCTGCGGCCGAGGCCGGGCTGATTCGCAGGGCAGCGCCGGAGAGAAGGGAGAAGTGATGGACACGGCCAGGGCTGGGGGAGGCCCCAGCCGGCGAGGGGCTGTGGGCAAGGGCTGAGCTGCCCCAGGCCGGGCAGGCAGGGACAGCAGGGTTTTGTGCCTGGAGGAGTGAGGGGATGCCAGAGGGCTGTGTCTCAAAAGGGTTAAATAAACAGCGGGCTTCGCCGAAAAATATTTATCTCCTGTTATACGCATGTGGCAGTGGCTCTCAGGAAGGGGGGCTGTGAGAGACGGGTGGGGAAAATATTTAAAATCTTTCCCCCTCTTACTCTCGAGATCCTGTTTTCTTCCTTAGCCCATAAGGCTTTCACTGGCACAGAAAATAAAAGAGGTCCCGTAGAGCTGATGTTGCCTGCTGTCCCCTATGGACCCGTTGTATGGGGATGCTTCAGTCTCAGCCATTCCTCCAGCTGCTCGCGAGCCAACAACAGCTACAAAAATCACCCCACTTCCTTCTATATTTAGAGGGTACAAAATGCAGACTGCAATGTGTGCCCCCCTAAGACGGGTAACTTGACATGTGCCTCCTAACGTGACCTCTGCTTGTGCAATTTTGGCCCCAATTGTTTAAAATTCATTTTCCTTCCAGGCTGATTTAACAGAAAGCTCCACGTTTCAAAGCAGTCATGAAATCCTCAGGCTGATGATAGCAGGGCCAGTGGGCACGGGCCGGGGCTGCAGCACCCACTGCTGGGAGTATCCCACGAGGGATAGACCATCTCTTTTTTTGCAGATGGGCACACTGTGGTCTCCAGATTTATTTGATGCAGGGGACTCTGAGGACTCCAACTTTGCCCCAAGCCCAAAGGACAAGGACGTCCAGCCCAGGCAGGATATCCAGCCCCAGGAGGGGCTCAGCATCTCACAGGGGGTGAGGATCTGACCCCACCTGGGAAGTTCTCCAGGAGTTTTGCCATGGGCAGGAGCAGGCGGGAGCAGCAAGTGACTCAGGCTCCAGCCATGTGGGCACGCTGGGGGACGCCTTGTGTATACAGTTTCTTGTGTGTGTAAACGCTTGTGGGGTTGAAGCTGGAGGGCACAGTGAGCCACTGGCCAGGCAATGAGAGGCAAAAATCTTCTGTACTGTGAAATGGAAACTATTTCCTTGAATAAACTCGAGCCCGTGTGCGCTGAGCTGCTGGGCTGATGCTGGCAATGCCAACTTGGTCCTGGCAGAGGCCAACGAGCAAAGAGCTCCAATACGAAACCACTTCCAGAGCCTTTCCAGCTACGTGGGGTTTCCACTATGCTCCCCACTGCCATTACGGGCAATAAATGGGGAAAGAAAAAAAAAAAAGGCTATTTTGGTATATTAACCTCCTTGTGGCCAGGTGAAAGGTTAAATTCACATGATTCATTGGCGGCTGAGAGACAGCACTTTGTTGCTAGGATTTTGGGGAATGCGGAGGGCTCCAGCGAAGGAGTCTCGCTAATCTTTAAGGGAGGGAGCCAGGCTCCTGTCTGACGGCTGCAGGCCCAGCAGCTCTGTGTTTCATTTCAGACTGTCACTCTCCTATCTCTCAGCTCACTCCCAGCTCCAGCTTGCTGCCAGATCTTGGGAACTGTTAACTCAGACAAATTTATAGATGGAAAAAGAACAGTTAGCCATTGTTCCTGGGGTGGGGGAGGGAGGAAAGCGAGGAGCTTCGGCCACCAAAGTCATGATGTAACCTGGTTGTTGCTTGGTTGGGAGAAACGTGCAAAGGATCTTGATCTTCCCGTGCCAGGGAATGAAATTGGGACCATTATGTTACTGCTAAATGTTGGGAGATGGGACGCTGGTCCTCAAGTCACTTGGAGACCTTTGTAGAGCGTTCCCATAAAGTGGAATCTCACAGCTGGACATCTCTGGGATATGAGCTCATTTTTTCGTTTCAAGTCCTGTGATACTGGGTACTTTTCCTTAAAGCTTCAGACTCTGGAGTCATGAGATCTAATATCAACAGCAGTGTTCTCATAAACAAAGCGCCTCGCTATGTGGGCTGCCGAGAAGAAACTGGAAATGGGGAGATCTCAAGGATTAAAAAAGAAAAATCCAGTTGGCAAATATGGAGACTCTCAGATTCATTATTCTTTAGGAGCGCCATGACTTTCAGGAAGCATTACTGACTTCATCTACCTGGGAGAAAAGTGGGAGACCAAGAAGTTGTTGTCTGACTGGTGCTCTGCCCCTGCTTCCCAGTTGGATACTCTTCCAACCAGCCTTCTTGGTGGAAAGACTTTTTTTTTTTTTTTCAATACAACATTAAAACCCATATCTGGAAAATGAGAGAGCATTCACTCATCCTAGTGTTTGGTTTATAGCTTTTGGATGGTCTATGGCTCCTTTGGTCATGGTATACATACCTGTTGAAGGTATGTCTTCCACAATTACCCAAAGAATAGAGATACACCTTCTGGGAGCATTCACCCCTACACAAACCCGCCCTGCAGCAAGGCTGTACCTGTGTTACCATCCTCACGGTTTCTGTAGCCCCTTCACCATCCGGAGATATTCCTGGTTCTTTGTGCTTGCTCGCTTGGAGGGAAGCATGGGAAGGGTTTGGAGGACTGTTAGCTGCGAGCGGGTCTGCCTGCCCTCTTCTGCATGTAGCTTCAGGACAGGAGGAACCTGTATCGCAGTGGGATAAACCAACTGGGGTTTTTATAGCTGCTCTGAATCCAGGTTCCCCTTTTTTTTACCATTATATGTGTACAGAGTAGATGGAGGTGAGAAATTTTTGATTTAAAAAATAAATAGTAATATGTTAAGCGCTTAGTAAGTCTAACCACTTGAGAATCTGGCTGCATGGAAGATGGTTTCTTCTTCCAAGGTCTGAAGGGTTGCAGAAGTCTGGTTTTTTAATCAGGAGACTGCACAGATTTGATTTTGAAGGCCCAGAAGGCGGCAGAGTCCCAAAACATGACTCCCCTGCATTTTACTTACTGGAGTTTTATTTAACTCTGCAATAACAGGGACAGACTTTCACATCCTATAAAATTTCTGCCCAAAGTCAGCTGCAGTATTAATGTTTGTTGTCTGCTTAATTTTGGTATCTATAACTAGAAGCGCTTCTTTTTCCCATTGCAGGCTTGGTGTGAAGTTGTTGACTCAAAACCCCAGCATTACACAGATGTGCACTTATAAATACAGGGCTGAATTAATCTCTGGTGGAAGTCTTCCACTGAAGTTAACACAGATGCTCGAGGGATGAATGTGGGACACTATCTGCATTATGGGCTAATTTTCATTTTGCACCTCTCTCCTGATATATTTTATGTGTCTAAAAATTATCTTCCATGAGGGAGAAATGGCACTACGACTTCTCATGAGCAAGGTACTGAAAGGATGCGACAAATGAATGGTGCAGCCTTGCCTATCTGCTAGAACTAAATTTAACGTTCCCTGCATTGCTTTGCTACGCTTAATTT